TTTTTTTTTTCAGTTTTTAGTTTTTTGAGACAGGGTCTCACTATGTAGTTGAGACTGACCTGGAACTCACTATGTAGCCCAGGTTGGTCTCCAACTCACAGCGATCCTCCTGCCTCAGCCTCCCAAGTGCTGGAATTACAGACATGTGCCACCACGCCCGGCTGTTTCTATTCTTTTCTTATATCTGCAACCAGTGTCACATGTGGCTCTGGCCCTGCCTTACCCTCAGCACCTCTCTGGGATGGTAAGGGTGTCCACAGGTGAGCAGTTGGTGACCTGTGCAGGTCACACTGTGTGCACAAGCATGGGCTAGGCCTTCCTCTACCTCTGTCTCCCAGAGAATGGCTGACTAATCTGTCTCATCTCAGTACAACTGTGTATCTTTCCTGGTCTTGACAGAAACAAAGAGGGGAGCTACAGGGGGATCGGCTGCTACTACCCTGGACTTCAAGTACCCTTTGCTTTAGGTCAGTGAGAGTATCTGAAATATGGCTTAAATAAAGAGTCAATTTTCAAAGAAAAAGGACACCTAAGTACTCTATAGCCACAACAGGCACTCTACGTGTCATTTGCATATGCTTTGTGGGCAAAATGAACCCTGCCTCCTCCACTTCTCCAATGCCTCCCTCCTCTCCTCTCTGACTTAGGTTGGCATCAACTCTTTCAAGTCTTTGCTAATCCCAGAGATCAAGGCGTGAGCATTTCTCCCTGCCATCCTCTTGCTCCCTCCAGCTTTGACTCCCGCCAACCTCTGTGAGATGCCAAATCATCAAAGCACATTATTTATGGTGGACCTTTGCTGAAGCCCTGCTTCCCTGGTGCAAGAACTGGGGGCAGGGGGGGATGAATTTGTCGGGGAGAAGGTTGATGGGCCCAGGAGGCTTTTGGTCCTCAACTAACACCTCCTCCTGTATACCTAACTCCCTCCACTGGCCTTGCTTGGGCCTCTGTCTCCAGGCAGGAGTAGGAGAGGAGAGGGAGAGAGATGGCTAATCCAGCTAGGAACAGCACCTGAGCTTCTCAAAGGAATGAACCAGTCATGCCGTTTGCATGTAAACAGCCTCCCACTTCTATTCCTAGTCTCACCAAATGCTCCCAGCCCTGGGTCCTGGCCCAAGTTCTGTGCCCACACAGCCCTGCAATTAGCTGTGGAATGAGAAGCTTTTAATGAGGCCTCATTAGCCACGCATATGATAAAGAGGCCTGATACCCAGCTGCTGCCCTCATTGTGAGGTGAACATGGGGCCCTATGCAGTCAGGGTGATTTCTGATTGTATGGTCCGAGTCCCAGGGTGGGTGAGGTGGGAAGAGAGGGTTTCAGGAGCCCATTAGCACTTGAGAGGTTCCATGGAAGATCCTTGTTTTGGGCTGGGAGATGAGAAGCTTGGCTCTGGGTTCCTTTTCCATTTTAGAAGTAAAATTTTATCATTCATCTATTATATGGCCAAATATTCCAAGGTGAGAGATACAATAGCAAATAAATCAGACAAGAATTCTTAACCTTGTGGTACAGTCTAGTAGGGTGGTCTGTTATAGAGAGACAATAAGTAAAACGCTAGGGTGTTGGATGTCATAAGTTCATGAAAAAAAGTTTTGGGGTGATGGAAACTTTTGGGGAAGGCCTTGGTAAGGAGTATTTATAGTAAACACAAGATGGAGGCACTGTTCTCCCTTTATCCCAAGATGTAGAAGAGTACAAAGTCCCAAGTCTCTAAGTCTCAAAGATGTGGGTTCCCTTTGGGAGGGTTAACTAGCTATTCCTTTACAGGTCAATATTCATGCCAGTGTGGGAAAAAGAATGAGAGATTTGGGGTGAGAAGAACCTGAATTTGTGGCTGTTCTCTACTGATTAGTAGCTGTACATATTGCAGCCAGTGACTGAACCTCCTGGATCTCAGTTTTCTCATCTGAAAAATAGGCATATTTCCCCACTAACATGGTGGAGGTGAGATTTCTCTATGCCAAAGCACCTTGTGAATGTTCAAAACGTGCACCCTCTCAGCATTCTAGGAGGCTGAGGCAGGAGCATCTTCAGTTCAGTACAGGCAACTTGGCAGAACCCTGTCTCAAAATAAAAAATTAAAAATGCTCCAGGAGGTAGTTCAGTGAGAAAGTCCTGGGTTCAATGCTGAGCAGGACCTCTCATTGCTCAGAAGCCAGTGTTCATTGTGCCTCTCTCCCAGCTCTTTGGCATGTGATGGTCTCTCTAGGCCTGGTCTCTGGTTCCAATCCTGATTCGCTCCCCTGAGGGCTTTCTGCCTTGGGTGTGCAACAGGTAGAAAAGACCCCTCCATGTGGGATGTGAAGAGGGGTTTCAGAGTCAGAGGGTAAGATGTCTGAGCTTCAGACACGAGATGAGTTAGAGAGGGGAAGATGTAACTGTGAGGAAAAAGGGAAGCAATTTAAGTGATGAATCCTAGAGCAGAGCGGGGGCAGGGCTATTGCGTTCTTTCCTCCTGTCTGAGACTACAGCGGGGCGGGGCATAGAAGACAGGACTCAGTAAGGATACAACGAAGTCAGGCTGACACAGGGTCAGAAGGAAAGGAGAGGGTGGCGAAGCCCAGGGGACAGGCATCAGCACTGGCGAGGGCGGGACGGGGAGGGGGCAGACCGAGGTCTCCGCAGGAAGCAGTGGGGGAGAAGCACCGGTAGGAGTGCTTGGAGTGAAGACCACGGAGTGTGATGAGGAGAGGGAGGATGGAGACTGGAGGGGGTGTCAGGCTCACCCCTCAGCTCTCAGCCTGGTGGCAGGGACAGCAGGGGAGAACAGACACCTGCTTCAGCTTTCAGCCTGGCAGTCCAGCTTGAAGGTTTTAAGGGCAAGGAGCTGGTGGGCAAACACAGAGGGAAACAGGCCCAGGGGCCATGCCTATTGAGCTTAACCTGGCATGGCAACACTGTGACAAACTAAGCACAACACTCCTTAGAGTGCCTACCTTGGGTGCTGTTGGAAAGCAGGCTGCTGGGCAACTCTAGCTCACTGCCGGGTCTGTGCATATGCGTGTGCGTGTGCATCTGTGCAGGGAGTGTGTGTGTGTCTGGGTGTGTGGCTGCGGTCTGCATGCTCTCCCTCCTCCAGCCTCCCTCCTCCTCTCCAGCCACCCTGGGATTGGTGACTCTCAGCCCCTCCCCTCGGCTCCCCCAGACCCCCCCAGAGCCTTTATCAGGGAGCTGGGACCGAGTTCCTGCCACCTCCCGGATTCCCTCCACTCTGCTTTTCTCTTCCTGGCAGCTCTGCAGCGCTGTGGGGAGTGGGGAGTCCTCCCGGCCAGAGCATCAGGCTCGGAGCAGCTCTACAGGTAGGCACAGGGGGACAGTGCGGGGTGGACTGAAGCTGGCACCAAGGGACAGGGGCCAGAGCCAGGAGAGAATGGCGGAGGGAAGCCTTTGATAGGCAGACAGGGTAATGGGAAAGTGAGCAGGATATTTGGAGCCTATGAATATAGACTGATTCTTCTGTACCAGAAAGTTTTGCCTAAGTCTTTGTTACCAAGTACTAGAAAATAGCATCGAAGACCTTTCCTCAGGTCGATTAAATACATGTCCTACATGTCCTACAAACCAATACATGTCCTACAAACCTAACCTCTTCCTTGGGAGCTAGAGTCCTGGCACCACACCACCAGTGCTCATGTCCTGGGGTACGCCCTTGGAAGGTGTCTAATAGGAGAGCAGAGAAACTGAACCCAAAGGATGAACCCCTCTTCAGAGGTACATTCCACCCTCCCTCCAGTCCAGGGCTTGGACGGGACAGCTGGGGCTGGGAAAGCAAGGTTGAACCAGATTATTGGTCTATGTTTTCGCAGAGCTGTGTGCTCCTCTCTCCACCCTACCCGAGGCTTATCCCTTTGTCCTCCCAGACACCATGAGGAGCACCCTGCTGTTTGCAACCATCCTGGCCCTTAGCCTGGGTTCAATCTTTGGGGCTGTCTGTGAGGAGTCACAGGAGCAGGTGGTGCCCAGTGGGACCCACGGCAAGGTAAGGCACCCTCTGGCAGAGTCCTGGGAACATCACGGGGATCTGGCATTCTGCATGTCTGGACAGCCGTAGGGAAAATTGGGCAGGCAGCGTTGGGAGTTAGGTAGGTAATACATTTGAGGGCATTTTGTCTTCTTGTGGATTTCCCCTGGTCCTCTTGTGTCCCTCCTGTCTCCGGGGTATGTCTCTAAGCATCTCTGTCTCTCTGTGTGTCTTTGGCATTTCGTTGTAAAGATGCCCTACAAATATGTTGTTCAATTTGTTAATCGACTGGTGACTTGGGGATTGGATGGTGCTGTGAGTGGTGAGCTGGAGTGGTCTGAGTCCTTCTATGGTCTGGTTCAGGTTCTGTCCCTTGGCAAGGGACAGGTCTTCTCTACCCCTTAGATTGTATGAAACAGAATTTCTCTCAAGAGAGCATTTGCATATTATTTCACCTATAGATTATATGTATTGTCTTATTTTCAAAGTGCAAATAAATACCTCTATCCTCTTCTTATCTTTCACCTCATAACCTCGGATGCTTCTAAGATTCCAAACTTCTCCTTCTTCTCTTCTTTCCCTTGCCTGTATCTAACCTCAGCTTAGTCAGGATAGCAAAACAAAAAACAAGTAACAAAAAGCCAGGTTGAGCCCTGATTTCCAAAGTTCCTCTAAGAAAAGAATAGGGATTGTTAGGGTCGGGGTACAGGGGGAGTACAAGGAGGAAGTCTTTTCAAGGTTTTGAAATGACAGCAATTACATCGGTACAAACGCTTTTAAGATGATTACAGGTGGGCCCTATTACAGATTCAGTGTGTGAAGTCGAACTGCTCCTCTAGATCTAATCTGTTTAGCATCTCATTGTGGGAAGTGGGCAGAAAATTTGAACAATTTGGGAAAAGCAGCTGCTGTGAAGCTGTTTTCTGGGGGTGGGAGGGAGAGAGGGAAAGGGAGAGGGAGAGGGAGAGAGAGAGAGAGAGAGAGAGAGAGAGAGAGAGAGAGAGAGAGAAATCACCAGTGCAGCATTGCAGGTGGCGCAGTTGCAACACATCCAAAATTCAGAAATGGCCTGGGAGTGCCAAATACAGGCTGAACTTTGTGTTTGGAGCTTCAAAGTTCCAGCCTGGGGTAGTTAGCACATCAGAGTTCTTCAGAGACACGCCTGTTGGGGAACCTTGGGCAATGAGAAGTCTTCTCTGTCCCTTTTTGTTAATGAAAGACAGGGGTTGTTCTTCCATGCATTCTACCCTAGTATCTGTAAGAATAAGTGGGATTGGGGCAGGAAGAGGGCTGGATAAATGTGTGCCTCTGTGACTGGGTCAGTATGTATGGGATGTGTCCTTCTGAGTGTGAACAGGGCCCCAGGACCCTTGGATTCCAGAGAGATGCACAGCTGAGATTCAAGGTGAGAATCTCCAAACATGATCATTGTCACTGTCTCTCTGCACCTGTTTTTAACTGGGCGGTGGCGTGCACCCTGCAGTGCCCAAGTTACTAGAAAACTAGAGAAATCCTCAAAGAAAAAGGGTGCTGAGTTTAGCCGTCACAGGTTCAGGATGAGACAGTTTTGTGTGGGAAAAGAGCGAGTGGGTGGGGTATAAGTCTCCTGCCTCAGTCCTCTCTGTTCCTCTCCCCTACAAGGACTCAGGTCTCTACCAGCTGCCCCCATCGTTGCTGCGGAGACTCTACGACAGCCGCTCAGTCTCTCTGGAAGGATTGCTGAAAGTGCTGAGCAAAGCTAGCATGGGTAAGGTGCAGCCCTGGGGAGAGGGTGTGAGCGGCCGGGATTCTGAAGATTTGATAGACCTGGGTGGGAGGGAAGCAGGGGATGGCTTAATGAGCCCGTCAGGACGTGACAGGCGCCACTCCATTGTTGCTTTCCAGCACTCACTTCCCATTTTTATACCTTGTTTTTGGTTCTCAGATCCCAAGGAATCCGCTCTTCCCCAGAAACGTGAGTACTCTCTTTTCCCTCCCTATCTCTGCTGACTACTCACTCAGAGCTCAGTGGGCATGGGGCCAGAGAGCATTTTGGCTGGCCCCATCTCAGCTGGTGTAGACAACATGCCAGCTACTATTTCTCAGCCAGCTTTTCCTAAGTGGGAGAGGTCATTGGCGATGAGGAAAGAAGCAGGTGTGAGGGCCGTGGGGCTGCTTATTGGGAACCAAGAGGAACCAAAAGGTGACTATGAAGATTCTAAACTAGGCACCCGCTGAGGCAGAGGATTCTTAAAATGTGGAGAGGTATAGAGGATAAACCATCACTCCATCTGTTGACCATGTTGGCCTTTTCCTGCAGGTGACATGCATGATTTCTTTGTGGGACTTATGGGCAAGAGGAACAGCCAACCAGGTAGGAGTGTGAGGGAGTAAGATTTGGGGTACTTTGAGGAAATCACAGATGTCAAGTGTCTCCTATTTGTTACCAGAGGGAACAATAAGACTTTCCTTGGTTGCAGTAAGTGTCCGTGCCCCTTCTTCCCAAACAGCTTGGATTCACAGTCAAGCTCTCCTAGGACTCAGAGTGGGGACCTTTCTGTTGCAGCTGGGAGGAAGGGACAGGGCAACTCTGCTTCTTCTCCATTCCCCAACTCTTTCCAACTTGACCTCAATAGCCAGTCCTTCCCTGTTGGGTTAGGGTGAAGGTGACATTAAGAAAAGTATCTCCTAATTATATGATTTACTTCACCCCAGATATACCTACTGATGTGGATGAAGAGAACATCTCCAGCTTTGGCACCCTCAAGTATCCCCTGAGTGCAGAATGAGGTAAGGACTGCTAGCAGGAGCAAGGAGAGGGGACTCTTCTTGTGTGTGTGTGGGGTGTTGCTACTTGTGCATTCTTTGCATGCTTGGTACCTTTTGACTCAGAGTCCTGGGTTATGAGCACAGAGCTCAGTCAATCACAAGGGTGATCTGGGAAGAGATGCGAGGGACTCTGAAGTCTAATGGGAATAGCTGGGAAACACCGTAGTCTCTCTGTGTAGATAATGGAGCATGGTTTGAGTTTGAATCCTGAATTCTCCATTCTCTGCCTGTGTCCTCTTGGCTGAGTTACATAACCCTCTGCGTCTCATTTTCCTCATCTGAAAAATGAGGTCAATGAGGGTAATCATAGTATCTCTCGGGACTGTAGTGTGGAGGAGAGAGTATAGATACACAGCGTTCAGGTTGGTACCTACGCAGAGTAGTATGTGTTAGCTGCACTATAGCTCTGCTGGCCTGGCAGGGTGGGGTTTCCCCTGACTGGCTCTAGTCTGGCCTGAGCTGGCTGACAGATTCCTCATTTGTCTGCGAATATGACAGTGCCCCAGGAAAGTGTCTAGTCAAAACACAGAGCCTTCTGCCTTGACAGGGCCTGCCCACACACAGCAACAGCAGCTCAACTGATGGGTTTCTTTTTAATAACTTTCAAAAAGAGAGGGGAGAAGAGGAGAGGAGAGAGGGTGGGAAGTCCCATTAATCACAGAGTGCAGGCTGCCTCTCTCCCTGTGCTCCTGGAACCTCCCTTCATTGGGCCCAAAGGACCAGCGCGAGACTCGAGGAGCAGACTGGTGATGCTACCACCTGTGCATAACTCCTCCGGACGAGAGACTGGGTCTGGCTCCTCATCTACTGTTGGGTGAGAGGGCGCAAAAGCTGTAATAACTGTAACTCACTGATTATATGGTACTTGCTGTATCATTTTGCTCTCATTAGGTAGTTATTTCAGTCCTGCTGACGGCCAGATAATTATACGGGCAGCTATATCTGGGTGACAAATTCTCCTCCAGCGTTATGCACTGGCCATAAAGATAATTACAGTGCAATTTTGCCATAGTATTTTGTACAAATGGTAAAAACAAGTTCATTGTGGAAATCTACTTTTAATGCTTGCTGGTGAATCCAGGCTATTTCAGAGGGAGAGTCTGTAATTGCAACCCTCATAATCTCACCATTGATGGAATATTCACAACCTACTAGGTGCCCTGCAGAATAGCTCATAAGGTCCCTGGGGGCTGGCACTTCAGCGGCATTAGATGAGGTGGACCAACATAGATCATTGTGTCACCTTATTTCATTCATGTGAAACTGCTGCAAAAGGAAATAATCTGGGGGCCCATCCTTCCTTTGGGAGGTTTCTGGGAAGAGGAGGAACTGGTAAGCCAAGACAGCATTAGCACCAGGTGCCTGGAATGGGCACCTGGGGGTGCTCAGATGATATGAACTCTTTCTGCATGGGCGCCACAGACCATGCCGCAGATATTTAGCACAATAAACACAGTAGCAGAGGAGGGGCAATCACCAGTGCTTTAGTCCAAAGGCTGCATGGAAAACTAAGGGTTAAGACTTCCATTCCCTCCTCCACTTTCACCCAGGGGGTAGCAAGTGAGAATTTTATAGGACATAAGATGTGGTTTGGTTTTATGCTTTGTTTGTTTCATTTTGATCCTCAGAACTCTACTTCTGAACCCCCGGGCTGCATCACGGAGACACTGTCCCCTGTCCAATCCCAGGTGCATGTTACCCTATTTCCCTTTCTGTTCCTATTCCTGTAACGTTCTTGTGCTTTGTCCCCTTCCCTATCCCCTCTAGTAACTGGTGACCATCCCCAATCCTAATGGGCACTGACTGTGGATTCTTTAGATTAACTGTAGTTTCTGTAGTGTCCTCCATTAAAAATGTCTCTCTCTTCCTCAACAATAAAGGATTTTTACATATGAGTGATGTGATATATTGTTTGTTTGTTTGGTGGGAGGGTTTTTCTTTTCTTTGATTCTTCCACTACATTATAAATCTATACAAGTACCAGGTATGGTGGTGCATGGCTGTACTCAGAATTACTTGGGAGGACGAGGCAGGAGGACTGTAAATTTGAGTCCTACCAGGGTAACTTAGCAAGATCCTATCTCAACATTAAAAAATTAAAAAAAGACTAGGTATGTAGTTCAATGTGAAGGCACTGGGTTCAATCCCTCGATCCACTGAAAACAACCCCCCCACATATATGCATACATATGACACACCCACCATATTTAAATGGAAGTATCTTTATTTTATAGCATATCAATTACCCAACAATGCCTCACACAGTGCTCAGTACAATTAGTATCAGATTTGATTTAGTGATTAAAAAAATACATACAAGAATTTCAAAGATGACCACTAACATTTAAAGACTTCTGATAACAAAAACACTGAAAAGGGCCAGAGATTTAGCTCAGTGGCACCACACCGGCCTTGCAAGCACAAGGTCCTGAGTTCGACCTCTGGTACGGCAAAACAAACAGATGAACAGAAACACTGAAAAACTTGTTTGCATTTCTAGGATTGACCTGGGAGACCTTAATTCCCAAATCTGACCTTGTTTAATTATAGAGGAAGATGGGGATCAAGGCTGTGCAAAGACCTGGCCATGGAACTCTATAGCAGTGCATCGTATTGTCTCCAAATGTTGAGACAGATTCTGGGGAAGAGATGGTGACCCATGTACAAGTTTTATAGCCTAGCAAGGATGTAGATAAGCAAACAGAACTTGATCCAGCTAGGATGGAGAGTGGACAGGAAGTTAGTGCAGAGGCCAGGAAAGAGAGGAGAGGATATCTCAGTGTCAACTGGCTGACTTATATTTAGTACAGATTCTTCTATAAAGTAGCTGTTACCAGCCCTTGCAGCACAGCCAAATAGTTCACAGAATAGTTGAAAAAGAAAGTTTTGTGTTATTTGTTTCTTTTTTGCAATGATCTTTTTCATTTATGTCTTGTACTCTGGAATAACTCCTTTGAAGACAATGACACACAGTGAAAAAAATGAGTATAAGACATAGCGAGGATACATTTTATTAATCTGATGTGACAACTATCACAGCCCACTGATCCCAGGGAGGAGTCTGTACCCTAATGGAACAGAGCCCAGGAAATCCTCAGGCTCCCTGTCTTAGCCTGGGTCAGAAGCCTCAGTCTTGCACCTGAACTGCACTGAAACAAAGTCCACATTTGGCTCTCCCAAGGCAGTGTCAGGACAGGACCTTGGAGCCAGCGGTCACTTCCTGCAGTTCTTTCACCCCAGTGAAAGTCCTACATTTCCAGAACCTGACTGGGTATTCGACTGACAGCTACATAATGGAGCAGGGAAAGGAGGGCTCATCTTCCTAGCCAGAGGGTGGTGGGGGGAGCCCCTACTCTACATCCTAGAGCCTTTTTCCAATGAGTCAGCTCAATGACTTTTCAAAGTTAGCTATCTTTAGAGCTGAAAAGTGGAAACACTTTCATGGAGTCTGGGGAATTTCTCTGGTTCATGGAAACCTCAAGAGTTGGTTTTCTTAACACTTAGAATCAGGCATATATATATACATA